ATCAATTATGAAATACCTGAGTACACTCATTTTTCAGTTGCTCATAACTCAGTGGCATATGTATTGATAATACTAGCCAATGAAATATAATTCTTTGAGCGAAACCTGAAATCTAGGTTTTATTTTTCAAATTCGTTTTGGAGAGGCACCTTTTCCCTCCGACGATAATTCTTCTCCGCTTGGTTGATGCATGTCATCGATCCCGATTGCGTGGATCGATGCTCATGACATCAATAACCAGATTGTCTTGCCAGACTCGATTATTTACAGTCCGCCGCTATATGGCTGAAATATTGCTGAGTGCGGCGTTAAACAACAAACAAACACACTTCTCCGCTTTCTCCACGAAGTTCAATCGGATAAATAACATATATAACTGTATTGACATTTTCTTTTCTGAATACATTCATTACCAAATCGTAAAACTGTATTTTAACAAACTGCCTCAGCAAATTACAGTTTGATTTATTCGCGAAAATAATAATCTGGTTAATTCAGACGATACCAAGTTTTCATTTGAGACAAGTGTGTATCTAATGGTGGCATTAATAAAAATCATAAACAAGACTGAGTGAGAGTCTAGCGACACTTTGAACAGTATGTCAGTTGTATAACCATTTTTATGTGAGAGGAAATCCCGAAGTGAGTGAGCGAGTAGGGTTTTACGCTGCTTTTAGCAATATTCCAGCAATATCACGGCAGGGGACATCAGAAATGGGTTTCACAAATTGTACCCATGTGGGGAATCGAACCCGTGACTTCGGCTTGACGAGCGAACGCTTTAACCACTAGGCTACCCAACAGCCCTAACCCGAAGTGATGCGGGTCTCAGACGTTGGTGAATCCAATGAGTATGGATGACTTCAACAGATTCCTGTATCCATCGGACATAAATGTAAAGGTATGATGACCGTCAACATTCGCTTGTGAGGAAAGTTATGAAAATGAAAACAGTCTCTTCATTACCATTCATTCATACTTTTGTTTTCAAATGTGATGCTGAAGCCTATTGTGAGCAGCATATATGTCTTGCACATGGTTATTGTGTTTCTGTCTGTCTGTCTGTCTGTCTGCAACTGGCATACATTATGTCACGCACTATACAGTATCAAATAAAGCACAACAGATACCTGGGCGTTTAAGGGCTCTCACACGATGTTATATAATGATCTTGAATATCCATTTCCATTGAAAAATTACGAAGGGCTGTAAATAAAATTAAATCAAATTCAATCAATCTGTTTAATGAGACAATAATTATTTCTCATATCCTTATAATCAGGTAATCTCAAAGTATTTCAAAACTAAGCAAAGTGCTGATTAACCCTTTTCGCGAACACATGGTGTCGTCATTGATTTTCCGAACTGTTGTGTTATTGGCCGTTCCAACCCACGTGAGATGTGACTGTAGAGTAGGTCCCTGTCTTTGTTTGGTTAACGGTATTGTGTAGGGAGTGTCTGATTGAACACTGTCGTGTCAAAGACAATTCTCGTACATCAAACATTACAGCTGATGCTGACACTGATAGCTTCAACAGATGGTTGTATCCTGGACCAATCCTTCACAATACTGGTCAACATTCATCTCGCCAACAATGCACTTCATGAACCTTCAGTCATTGTAGGGCGGTGGGGTAGCCTAGTGGTTAAAGCGTTCGATCGTCACGCCGAAGACCAGATTCCCTACTTTGGTATATTGTGTGAAGCCCTTTTCTGGTGTCCCCCGCCGTGATATTGCTAGAATATTGCGTTTTGCGGCGTAAAACCTTACTAACTCACTCAGTCATGATGTCTCTGCATATGTTCTTGTACTCAGTTGAACCCTGTATATATTCCGAGTTGGAATAGCCCCCCGCAACTTGTGTTGGAAATAAGATTTGTTTTTTTTGTTTGTTGTTAAATGCCCCACTCAGCAATATTCCAGCTATATGACGGCGGTCTGAAAAAAATCGAGTCTGGACCGGACAATCCCGTGATTGACATCATGAGCATCAATCCACGCAACTGGGATACGATGACATGCATGAACTAAGTCAACGAACCTGACCACCCGATCCCGTTAGTCGTCTCTTACGACAAGCACAGTCGCCTTTTACGGCAAGCATGGGTTGCTGAAAACATAAACATGTATTCTACCCCGGATCCTCACGGGTCTGGAAATAAGAGGCGACTATATAGATCGAGTGGTCAGACTCGATGACGTGGTTGACTGTGTACAGAAACAAAACAGTGGATTCCATTGGATTTTCAGTGGGATGCAACGGAAATTGTACACGTGAGACGTAATTCAAAATTAACATATATCGCTTTTGGTTTAAACGAAATCACTAAACGCGCTGTCGTGTCACTGTAGTTTCTGGTCCACTACGTCACAGCGTGTCTGGTTGCATGGCAGGAGAACTGCTGTGCGGCGGCAGACAACAAACAAACAGTTCTCCTTTTAGGCAAATCGTGTGAGTGGCGGGTGGTACCGGTAGTGCAGGGCCAGGTAACACCTGTGTCATCGCTGTGACGTCGTTCTATTGTTTGAACACTCCATTATTTTTCAGGAATGGAGAGTTGTTTGTCAACTATACATTATCTTGAATCAACATTTAAATGACTTCAACTTGGAACAGACGGAACTATTTTTTTACATTTATTGACAAGTGAATAATTTCATTTTTTCGGAAAACATGTGTCGCCAGGCGGGGTTCGAATCCGCATTGTTTGATCTGAGGTCGTGTCATTGTCAACCTCAGCTAGGGCGGCACATGAAGGTATGGTGTGAAATTAACTAATAAATATTTTCATAATTTTGCATAATGCTTAAAAGCTAGTATATATTCTGTGTTAGAGCAGGTTACCTACAAAAATGTTTATAGTTATATCAATTAAATCAATTAGATCAATAAATAATAGTTCAGGACACACCGAGATTATGAAGAGCCGTGTACCATGCATTGTAAATGTTAGCTCGCGACGTAGCTTGGTGCACGTGCAACAGCGACAGAGAACGTATTCCTCGTGCATCACACAGTATAAATACAGACGACAAAGAGTTCTGGTTTATTTTTCAAATATTTTCCACAACAGAATATTTTGTCAAAGTGTAAAAGTAGGGATGAGTTTTAAGTAGGGGAATTTCCTCGTAACTCTCCATTCTTTAAAAACAATGGTCCTCGGCCCCTCCGGTGCCTCTGCTCCATTATTTTTAAGGAATGGAGAGTCACTCGAACATTCCCCTCTACGTAATCGACACTGATTATTCTCTGGCATTGGCGTTTCATATTTCAGAAACTCATCAGCTCAAAACTCATAATACTATTCCTTTAAATAATTCTAATCATCGCTTCCTTTTATATTCGCAAACTGTTATTTGAGATACTCGTTGTAATTACCCGAAACATCCCATAATAGGTGAATATCATCAACATCTCTCCACTTGTTCCTGCATGTACATTTAATATTCTGTAGGTGTCCGCAAAATAACACAGACCTGGGCAAGCCGAGCAGAACTAGAAATGTATGCTCGTGTCTACACAGAGCTAATAAAAAATAATGAATTTCTATCACCATGCATCTTCCCGAGGCAAGGGCGTTAACTGACCATGCAAAGTCCAGTTTCCACCCTTTAGCCGAACTAGACAACATGCAGATTTCAGTGGAATGAAGGATTGCAAAGCATGTGCACGCCATCTGGGCGTCGACTGATATTTTGCAAATCTTTTCATGTTCTCTCATGGTGTAATTTGATGCACTTCGCTAGGTTTATGCCCGTTTCCTTACAATATAGAACCTGTTATATACAACCAAACACCTTGCTCACTCATATACGTATACTAACAGCAGTCGTGGTGACTAGGTAACACGGCTGATAAACGGACATGCACAGTTTGCTCCCTCTTGCTTCGGTATGTCGCTGACATGTTTCGTAGTGAATCCTGCATCTCCAGTACAATAAACCTCTCCTGCCTTTATCTTGCTGATTGTATACACGAAACCACCATCACACAAATAACTACAACCTCAGGGCGTGGGAAAAGTGGGTGAGTGAGTATGGTTTTACGCCGCTTTTAGCAATATTCCAGCAATATCACGGCGGGGGTCACCAGAAATGGGCTTCACACATTGTACCAATGTCGGGGATTGAACCCGGGTCTTCGGCGTGACGAGCAAACGCTTTAACCACCAGGCTTTTAACCACCGCCCAGGGCGTGGGAAGACATGTCGAATGAGATGCACATAACTTCAGCAAATTATATGTATAGGGGAAAACACGCCTCCGAGGTTTGGGTTGAAAACTTAGGGGTAGTGTTTTCCCTGGCTGGAAGTGAAAATTAAGTTTTGCTTCTGCTATTTAATTCATTCCAAACTGTATAATGTCCCTTTGAATCAGGTAATATCCTAATAGATCATGTTCCCCTGCCAAGTTGATGTACATAACTCTTACTAACAAACTTTCTGTCCCTATCATCTTGAAAAGTGTCTGGAAATGGTGTAATCTATTCCGGTAGATAGAAATATTAGAACGTTGAAGATAACGTTACAAGATCTTGGTATATTATTATTCGACCACTCTTCCTCCACGAACTGATCCGAACGCTAGCATCAACATAATGATTTTGATGAAGTTTGCATTTCAAAATCATTTAGCAAAAGTCATATCACGAAGGGCAAAATGAGAAATGACTTGTTTATAGTTCTGGATTCAAACTAGGACCTTCGGCTCGTAACCAACAATTCGGCCACCATGTTACATATAGGACTCTTTCATTGACAATAATATCTCTACACGGTTTAGCACAAAATTCCAATCTGTATAAGATATAATTATGTCATTGATGTTTTAAGTGTAAGCACGTAAAGTGATCTCCATCGACCAGAACGACGAGAGGACACAAGGAATTAACATAATTGACACTAAATATAGAACTGGACAAACACAAGTAACCCGCAGATAATTGACTATTTCAAGATTTTAGTTTAAGTTAAAATCAAAACACGATCAAAACAGTCAATAGTTTTAACAATGCAAATTTATTGACCGATGTTTACACATGTGCACACAATGTGCTAACCGAGGCAGGAAACATGAACCGTGGAACTATTCCCTCATCATAGACTCTTCCAGAGACCGCGCAAAGTCAGCATCTGAAATGATATCAACATATAAAGTGGTCATAACTCTATGGCATTTAAGTCATTGTATAGCCTATAGGAATAAGTGTCAGCACATCAGACTTTATTGTCTTTTTTAGGAATCATGCCGACGGGTACGATGACACGCAACAGATCAAGTCACCTATCCTGCCCAGCCGACCTATTTTGTTGCCTCCTACGACAAGCATATGTAATATATGTGACAATAATTTTTTTTAATTACATGTGTACAACTTAAATATTGGTATTTTTAGTTGAAACAGGTCTTATACGTTACGTACAATCCCCGGCATAATGTATTATGGGACGATACTTCTGTATACCCTTATCTATCCGAGTTGTGGATACGTCGGTCGATTGTACGATTCTTCCTGGTAAATATTTGTTTGATGCTAAATGGTTTTTTCAGTAGATTCAGCTTGAACAGTGAAACATTGAATTTTGATTGCCGTTAGATCACGACGTGTCAGCTTGATGTGGGGCGTTTACTTCTTTGATGTAAACTCACGAAATACACATGACTAATCTGTGATTGGCATCCACAATTACAGGACTGAGTCACGCCAGAGCTTATCAACTGGTCACAGCGAATTGCGGATCACACGACAACTATCGGGGTCACTCCGTAGAGAAACAAGTTCTTGTGTTGGAAGGATTTTGTGGAAAATGGGGATTTCTACACGAGTGTCTGTCGGATACCATTGATCTTACACTTAACGAGTTGTTTCAAAACGTATCCAACGAGCGAAAGCGTCGTCGTTGTGCGTGATTTAGCGTCAGTCATGGCGTCACACAGGACGGAAACTTTAACGGTTTCTGTTGAATTCACCACATCATTGCAATGTATATATTTGAAATTCCATAATTAATGCAACGATACTCTTCCCATGAATATTCTCAAACGCGTGACCGAGCCAAGGTATGCAACAATTAGACGACATTACCTCCACAAATGCTACACAGTATAAAATCTGAATATTACTTTGTTTACATATCCGCAAGTACGGTTTTCCGAGCACAGTGTTCGTTTCCACACCTAATTTATTTCCCATGATTTCATCTAGATAATTTGCATTGGTGACAAAGTCCATTTGTCATTTATTTCTAAAGTGTATGAGGAATTCAGGGATGTATATATAGCAGTTGAGTTTGAAATATACCTGATCGAGTAGGCGTCTCATAACCGGCATTTTGTAAACACAATATGGCAGAACGTACACTTCGGCGTTAGTGTATGTGCCTTTTCCAAAACATTCTAAAGGATTCTAGGCTCATCTGCGACGTTTCAGAATTATCATGAATGATTTGATACCCGTGATCACTAATATGCTATTTTTCTACTTAAATTATTCGAGTAAATATCCGATATTTAGATTTATAAGCACATAGTAAATAACGCTGTGAATTGTGATTTGGCGAGATTTACGATGTACCTAATTTTTCAGAGGTCACTTTCAGTAATTTGACTTTGCCCCAAATGACAGTAAATGATAAACAGAAGGGGGAATTCGAAACTGTGAAGAGTATTAGTTTGCGTGATGTATTTGGAATTTTATTCGTCTTCGAAGTGGGTGTTGAAGAGGAGGGACATATGTATCGCTGTGGCTCCAAAAAAGTTAACGTTGACATAACAACAGATATTGTAGCTGTTAATAATAACAAACAAACTCGCAGACAAGGACGAGTTCGATCTCACACATATGTTTGATACCAGTTATCTAAAATGGGTTTCTCACCCACAGGTGTGTAAGAAATCATTACATCACAACTTAGATGGGATTCCCGGGATACCCGCATGTCCAGGGTAGCATAGGTAAAATTTTAATCCAGGCATACCTAATTATAATCCGTGACATTAATACAGAAACAAGATGAATACATACCCCTGTCTGTGAGTTTCAAGATGTTGTTTAGGCTTTCTTCAAATTCACCGAGACTCACGGTGGCATCACCTTTTGTCAAACATAAGATTATTAATAATTTTACATCACTTCAAATCAACGTGTATGTTCCACAGATACGGAACTGGGGTTTTGTTACTGATGAAACAGAGGATATTTCCTGTGTCGAGTTTTAAACAGAGTTCAAAACATATTCTTGAAAGCTGCAGGACCGCTGTTAGAAACGAAGAAATACTTGCTGGTCAAGTAACAAAATGGCGCTTTGCTAAACGAACAGTCTCGATTGACGAGTCAAATGAGAAATTTACAGCTCATAACGAAACATCTCCGAGAGAATAACAAACAACAAGAAGCGATATTAATTCCATAAATGACCATCTGTCATTATTTTGTCTTGTCAATGTGGAACCGTCAAAGTGTAATGTTCACTGCAATGAAAATATCCCCTTTCTCAACTTCAGAAAACATTGTATATAGGTATATGATAATTATGTTCATGAACGTAAATCAAAATGTGATATTTGTACTTGAAGGGGCATTTACCCATCATGTCTGTAAGACAATTGTAAATCATGCGGTGTTATTCGATGGTTCCATGTAAAAGAAATATATGAGTAATATTTTATCTGACCAATGACGATAAATGTTCATATATTCCGCTACAGTGGTGTACAACTGGACAAAATATACCCCGCTGTCATGGCAACATACGTTTTGGTGATAACTCTGTTATCTCTTCAACTCAAGCTACTTACTGGGAAACAGCGTCGCATCTTACTCTCCGTTTGTTTTTAAATTCTGATAAATGATAAGCATGACGGTAAGGTAAGTCGTTGTCGGCGTATCCCTCGTGGAATACAGTTCGATGTACTCTCTGGGCGGCCGTATATACCTTGTGATAAGCTTACCACTTATAATACACTCACCATAACGCTACTGACTACGACTACGAATGTGTACGTACCATCTGTATCAGCCAAACTCAAGAACTCCTCAGCGTCCCGAGCTTCGAATATCTTCTCTGCCTCTGATTGGTCAATCTGTCCGTCCTCATTCAGATCATAACTTTCAGTGTCACGCTTTCCTTCTGATGTAAAAGAAGGAGTCTTTCACATAATGTTTATGAATAGATACGGTAAATAATTTTATAATAATGACACTTTACACGATCACAATGCAGATCCGATAAATTGTTAAAGGGGTGCAGGTTCGGATCAACTGGCAATCCCAGCAAATGTGATTCCAGTCATCCAGCACACTTACTTTAAAATACCAGTTCACAATACATTGTGTGTATCAGTCATGATCTCAACTACTCGGACAGAATGTCACAGTTTGAAATTTACAATTCATCATGAAAATCTGGACCTTGCCTGGCCTGATTGAGTCAACTGTGTTCAATATATGTAGTGTACATAATACACAGATTTTCCAATTACGCTAAATGCGATTCATGTTTAATTTATGGCATATTTTACGACAAAACTTAAAACAAAAACATATTTTCAAATACACGTCATAAGCTTCATGATGAATATGTCATTACTTATAATGGCTTCTGCTATAGGCAGGACTGTGCGCACAACCCTGATAACTCTTGGGACTCGGATACGAATCCTGAGCCATCGGCGACGAGCGTCGACATCTTGCAGCACCAGAACTGCCACTAGGAACAACAACGCCAGACGCATCTGTGGAGATCAACAATATCGGGGGTGAGCTACGAGGCCCTGAACAACATGAAGACCTGATAAATAATAATCAGTTTAACTATGGCTTCCCAACATAGACACACACATCTTACATTGACTCCTTGCCATTTTCGTGGTGGTAGGGCTGGGGGTTTTGAGGAGTGCGGTTGTTTGCGGGTGGGAAGAGGGTGATCACTGCAAATGCAAATGTTCCAGGGACGGCATTACCAGGTTACATGTATACAGTGGGCGATAAGGCAGCCAACTTGACAAAACGAATACCGGCGTTAGATTCTCCGCTAGTGACCGGGTTGTTATTTAGCCTTGGGATCAACAACGTTTACAGGTCTTTACAATGTGATCACCACCCCTAGAGTATAGTACATTCACTCTACGCAGTCAACATAACCAACTCGTCCGATGGTAGTTGACCATTTGGTGGAAACACGAACATACGAACATAGACCAGAAACACAAGTGAGAAAACGTGTGGTGTCACCCTGGGCAAGTAACTTATTTCAAATGTGCCAGGGAATGGGTACCCGATATGTGATGTACAACGTGGATGTAAAAACTCTCTAGCCTAGGCTGTATACTCCTAAGGGAGTTGACAATGACAGCCGGCATGCAAAATAGGCGGGAAACAAATATAACAGCATTTAAGCAGATACTAGTATCTGGATACCTGCGATATATAAATGTGTTATATAATAATATTATGATAACAATATATATTAGAGATGCATACACACGTTGATATTAACATTAGGAATTTTAGAGACAATATTATATATCATAAATCATTATTATCATCGGGTTATAAGGAGTATGTACACAAGGGCACGAGTAGGCAAGTAGATGGTTGATCTTGAGTGTCATGGCACCCTTATGTACTACAACCACTACTACTACTACTACTACTACTACTACTACTACTACTACTACTACTACTACTACTACTACTACTACCACTACTACTACTACTACTACTACTACTACTACTACTACTACTACTACTACTACTACCACTACTACTACTACTACTACTACTACTACTACTACTACTACTACTACAACTACTACTACTACTACTACTACTACCACTACTACTACTACTACTACTACTACTACTACTACAACTACTACTACTACTACTACTACTACTACTACTACAACTACTACTACTACTACCACTACTACTACTACTACTACTACTACTACAACCACTACTACTACTACTACTACTACTACTACTACAACTACTACTACTACTACCACTACTACTACTACTACTACTACCACTACTACTACTATTACCACTACTACTACTACTACTACTACTACTACTACTACTACTACTACTACTACAACTACTACTACTACTACTACCACTACTACTACTACTACTACTACTATTACTACCACCACTACTACTACTACTACCACTACTACAACCACTACTACTACGACTACTACTACTACTACTACTACTACTACTACAACTACTACTACTACTACTATTACTACTACTATTACTACTATTACTACTACTACTATTACTGCTACTATTACTACTACTACTATTACTATTACTACTACGTATACTAGGCCATGTAAAAAGCACAATATTCCACACTACTGAGGGGTATGTCAAAAGTTCATGACACTATACTAGCATCTTCAGCTCCCTGGGGAGTATACAAACCACACTGCCTGTTTGGCACTTGAATGTTTCGAAGTTCACAAACCCATAACAAACCCACGAACAACACGTTACAACGCTAACTACATTGACTTATTTTATGTACACTCGCCCTTCGTTGTTGGAAATGAGAACTTTCAGGTTAACACACTACAAAACACGTCGACGTACGGGTACCCCAAATAAACATAGTAACTCACCTTGTAGAATCGAATGAAGAGATAAATCTGCATTATACCTGTCTCCTTATATACGTATGTGATTCAGGATGCAGACAAGCTGTCGATGTATCCGACTATGGTCGTGTGTCGCCTCTCCGTACAGGTGTCAGAAAACATAACAAACTCTCCTTTTAACAAACAAACCCTCCTGTTGCTGTCACGTCCATTGACGCTTCCAATCACATGATATTGTTATTGAATTGGAAATGATATATTGTTACACATACATGTAGCTGAATATATAAAAATGCAATACTTTCAAACAAGTATTTAAACTAAAAAACAAAAATGTGTTTGAGGGTCTAAGCCAATATTTATCTCATCGTACGTGTGACCTGACAAAGATGATATCATATTGACTTTCGAGATATCATACATGTATGTTCTACACATAAATATATGTATAGAGTATTAGTTACATGAAACATGATATTACAGACATAATATTTCATATTGTTTAATGTAGTCATTTCACATTGTACACCTTCTAGCACATGAGCATGTGAGTTGTTTAGTCTACTCTGTCACTAAAGGACGGGGCACCGGAACATGTTTAGGATCAATTATGAAATACCTGAGTACACTCATTTTTCAGTTGCTCATAACTCAGTGGCATATGTATTGATAATACTAGCCAATGAAATATAATTCTTTGAGCGAAACCTGAGAACTAGGTTTTATTTTTCAAATTCGTTTTGGAGAGGCACCTTTTCCCTCCGACGATAATTCTTCTCCGCTTGGTTGATGCATGTCATCGATCCCAATTGCGTGGATCGATGCTCATGACATCAATAACCGGATTGTCTTGCCAGACTCGATTATTTACAGTCCGCCGCTATATGGCTGAAATATTGCTGAGTGCGGCGTTAAACAACAAACAAACACACTTCTCCGCTTTCTCCACGAAGTTCAATCAGATAAATAACATATATAACTGTATTGACATTTTCTTTTCTGAATACATTCATTACCAAATCGTAAAACTGTATTTTAACAAACTGCCTCAGCAAATTACAGTTTGATTTATTCGCGAAAATAATAATCTGGTTAATTCAGACGATACCAAGTTTTCATTTGAGACAAGTGTGTATCTAGTGGTGGCATTAATAAAAATCATAAACAAGACTGAGTGAGAGTCTAGCGACACTTTGAACAGTATGTCAGTTGTATAACCATTTTTATGTGAGAGGAAATCCCGAAGTGAGTGAGCGAGTAGGGTTTTACGCTGCTTTTAGCAATATTCCAGCAATATCACGGCAGGAGACATCAGAAATGGGTTTCACAAATTGTACCCATGTGGGGAATCGAACCCGTGACTTCGGCTTGACGAGCGAACGCTTTAACCACTAGGCTACCCAACAGCCCTAACCCGAAGTGATGCGGGTCTCAGACGTTGGTGAATCCAACGAGTATGGATGACTTCAACAGATTCCTGTATCCATCGGACATAAATGTAATGGTATGATGACCGTCAACATTCGCTTGTGAGGAAAGTTATGAAAATGAAAACAGTCTCTTCATTACCATTCATTCATACTTTTGTTTTCAAATGTGATGCTGAAGCCTATTGTGAGCAGCATATATGTCTTGCACATGGTTATTGTGTTTCTGTCTGTCTGTCTGTCTGTCTGCAACTGGCATACATTATGTCACGCACTATACAGTATCAAATAAAGCACAAAAGATACCTGGGCGTTTAAGGGCTCTCACACGATGTTATATAATGATCTTGAATATCCATTTCCATTGAAAAATTACAAAGGGCTGTAAATAAAATTAAATCAAATTCAATCAATCTGTTTAATGAGACAATAATTATTTCTCATATCCTTATAATCAGGTAATCTCAAAGTATTTCAAAACTAAGCAAAGTGCTGATTAACCCTTTTCGCGAACACATGGTGTCGTCATTGATTTTCCGAACTGTTGTGTTATTGGCCGTTCCAACCGACGTGAGATGTGACTGTAGAGTAGGTCCCTGTCTTTGTTTGGTTAACGGTATTGTGTAGGGAGTGTCTGATTGAACACTGTCGTGTCAAAGACAATTCTCGTACATCAAACATTACAGCTGATGCTGACACTTATAGGTTCAACAGATGGTTGTATCCTGGACCAATCCTTCACAATACTGGTCAACATTCATCTCGCCAACAATGCACTTCATGAACCTTCAGTCATTGTAGGGCGGTGGGGTAGCCTAGTGGTTAAAGCGTTCGATCGTCACGCCGAAGACCAGATTCCCTACTTTGGTATATTGTGTGAAGCCCTTTTCTGGTGTCCCCCGCCGTGATATTGCTAGAATATTGCGTTTTGCGGCGTAAAACCTTACTAACTCACTCAGTCATGATGTCTCTGCATATGTTCTTGTACTCAGTTGAACCCTGTATATATTCCGAGTTGGAATAGCCCCCCGCAACTTGTGCTGGAAATAAGATTTGTTTTTTTTGTTTGTTGTTAAATGCCCCACTCAGCAATATTCCAGCTATATGACGGCGGTCTGAAAAAAATCGAGTCTGGACCGGACATCATGAGCATCAATCCACGCAACTGGGATACGATGACATGCATGAACTAAGTCAACGAACCTGACCACCCGATCCCGTTAGTCGTCTCTTACGACAAGCACAGTCGCCTTTTACGGCAAGCATGGGTTGCTGAAAACATAAACATGTATTCTACCCCGGATCCTCACGGGTCTGGAAATAAAAGGCGACTATATAGATCGAGTGGTCAGACTCGATGACGTGGTTGACTGTGTACAGAAACAAAACAGTGGATTCCATTGGATTTTCAGTGGGATGCAACGGAAATTGTACACGTGAGACGTAATTCAAAATTAACATATATCGCTTTTAGTTTCAACGAAATCACTAAACGCGCTGTCGTGTCACTGTAGTTTCTGGTCCACTACGTCACAGAGCGTCTGGTTGCATGGCGGGAGAACTGCTGTGCGGCGGCAGACAACAAACAAACAGTTCTCCTTTTAGGCAAATCGTGTGAGTGGCGGGTGGTACCTGTAGTGCAGGGCCAGGTAACACCTGTGTCATCGCTGTGACGTCGTTCTATTGTTTGAACACTCCATTTTTTTCAGGAATGGAGAGTTGTTTGTCAACTATACATTATCTTGAATCAACATTTAAATGACTTCAACTTGGAACAGACGGAACTATTTTTTTACATTTATTGACAAGTGAATAATTTCATTTTTTCGGAAAACATGTGTCGCCAGGCGGGGTTCGAATCCGCATTGTTTGATCTGAGGTCGTGTCATTGTCAACCTCAGCTAGGGCGGCACATGAAGGTATGGTGTGAAATTAACTAATAAATATTTTCATAATTTTGCATAATGCTTAAAAGCTAGTATATATTCTGTGTTAGAGCAGGTTACCTACAAAAATGTTTATAGTTATATCAATTAAATCAATTAGATCAATAAATAATAGTTCAGGACACACCGAGATTATGAAGAGCCGTGTACCATGCATTGTAAATGTTAGCTCGCGACGTAGCTTGGTGCACGTGCAACAGCGACAGAGAACGTATTCCTCGTGCATCACACAGTATAAATACAGACGACAAAGAGTTCTGGTTTATTTTTCAAATATTTTCCACAACAGAATATTTTGTCAAAGTGTAAAAGTAGGGATGAGTTTTAAGTAGGGGAATTTCCTCGTAACTCTCCATTCTTTAAAAACAATGGTCCTCGGCCCCTCCGGTGCCTCTGCTCCATTATTTTTAAGGAATGGAGAGTCACTCGAACATTCCCCTCTACGTAATCGACACTGATTATTCTCTGGCATTGGCGTTTCATATTTCAGAAACTCATCAACTCAAAACTCATAATACTATTCCTTTAAATAATTCTAATCATCGCTTCCTTTTATATTCGCAAACTGTTATTTGAGATACTCGTTGTAATTACCCGAAACATCCCATAATAGGTGAATATCATCAACATCTCTCCACTTGTTCCTGCATGTACATTTAATATTCTGTAGGTGTCCGCAAAATAACACAGACCTGGGCAAGCCGAGCAGAACTAGAAATGTATGCTCGTGTCTACACAGAGCTAATAAAAAATAATGAATTTCTATCACCATGCATCTTCCCGAGGCAAGGGCGTTAACTGACCATGCAAAGTCAAGTTTCCACCCTTTAGCCGAACTAGACAACATGCAGATTTCAGTGGAATGAAGGATTGCAAAGCATGTGCACGCCATCTGGGCGTCGACTGATATTTTGCAAATCTTTTCATGTTCTCTCATGGTGTAATTTGATGCACTTCGCAAGGTTTATGCCCGTTTCCTTACAATATAGAATCTGTTATATACTCTTATAATTACAACCAAACACCTTGCTCACTCATATACGTATAATAACAGCAGTCGTGGTGACTAGGTAACACGGCTGATAAACTGACATGCACAGTTTGCTCCCTCTTGCTTCGGTATGTCGCTGACATGTTTCGTAGTGAATCCTGCATCTCCAGTACAATAAACCTCTCCTTCCTTTATCTTTCTGATTGTATACACGAAACCACCATCACACAAATAACTACAACCTCAGGGCGTGGGAAGAGTGGGTGAGTGAGTATGGTTTTACGCCGCTTTTAGCAATATTCCAGTAATATCACGGCGGGGGTCACCAGAAATGGGCTTCACACATTGTACCCATGTCGGGGATTCAACCCGGGTCTTCGGCGTGACGAGCAAACGCTTTAACCACCAGGCTATCCGACCGCCCAGGGCGTGGGAAGACATGTTGAATGAGATGCACATAACTTCAGCAAATTATATGTATAGGGGAAAACACGCCTCCGAGGTTTGGGTTGAAAACTTAGGGGTAGTGTTTTCCCTGGCTGGAAGTGAAAATTAAGTTATGCTTCTGCTATTTAATTCATTCCAAACTGTATAATGTCCCTTTGAATCAGGTAATATCCTAATAGATCATGTTCCCCTGCCAAGTTGATGTACATAACTGTTACTAACAAACTTTCTGTCCCTATCATCTTGAAAAGTGTCTGGAAATGGTGTAATCTATTCCGGTAGATAGAAATATCAGAACGTTGAAGATAACGTTACAAGATCTTGGTATATTATTATTCGACCACTCT